AGGAGGTGCTCTGATGCTGGCAACAAAACGGTGAAGACCTATCTACTGCACTAAGTGCCTGGTGCCTCAATTCAAAAACACTAAACACATTCAGGTTGTGTAATTTTTTTCTTTTTTGCCAGTGTTTACAAAAAAAATGCTTGTGGTGTTATTTTGGTTTTAGTGTAGTTTTGTAGTGTGTTATTTTTGAAATAAATCTGCTCCTGTTGGAGATACATTTATCCCATGTTTCCTAATTTTTATTTTGTAAGTAAACCTTCCTAGAAGTGTTAGTCAGGTGATAAACATCTAAGGACTGTGGCAAAGTCCACACACACACAAAAATTAAAAACACTTGTATTTGGATGGAATGATTACCTATAGTGATAATACAATTCTTTTTACAGTATGGTACCTGAAAAAGGTCAAATGGCACTGATGGTATCCAAATGTGCCAAAATGTGCCCAAAGGTCATTCTTTTTGCTAAACCTCTCTAAAAGGTCAAATGTCACTTGTTTTGCCTCAATCTTGATACAGGGTACTTATTATATGTTATACTTTGGATTCCTAAAGCTTTTAGTCTACCATACCATCATTCAAGGGTGGTTTTCACTATAAGTAATGGGTTTTTTTTAGGCGGAGGTAAGAATTTACCTTTTTTTACTATGTTCCATCTGAATTTACTCTGACGCAGAAACATCTATATTGATTCTGACACTTCTACATCCAACTCACAGATGTAACCTTGCTTTGATAAAATAAATTATTCAAATAACCCTTTTAGAAGTTAAGTTATAGTCATTTGTTTTGGGCATAGCATTTTCGAGCCTGAAACCTGAAAAACAGGCTCAGGGCTTAACAGGTTAAGGATTTGTGCTGGGCATAAATTAGGTTTCTTATTACTATGTGTCTATTATTTAGGGTGCATCTCAGGTGATGTTACAGAGTAGTCCAGAAGTACAGTAATGTAACTAGTAGTGTTTACTATTTACTTTCAGTAAAGTAATTTAGTAAAGTAAGGCATTGCTTTTTTCAAGTAACTAGTAATGTGTAATTATTTCATTATTTTGAGTAACTACCAACACTGAGTACAGCCAGTATCTAGCAATAACCTAATGAACTTAATACCAAAATATATGTAAAGCAAACAACTTAACATACAGACAATGCTTACAATGGATCCATTTCAAAGATTGCAACAGATTAGGAGAACTATGTTGATCAGCTCCCTGGCCCTACTTTTACATTCCTTTTCATGCTGCTGCAATACCACATACAACCAGAGAGCAATGCTTAAGCAAACCAGAACCCTTCCCCAGCTGGCTGGAGGGCAGAACAGTCATTACCCACATATACAGTCTATGTAATTACCCCCCACGCACCTGAAACGCCTGACTTAAGGTGTACTATCATTGTTTGATCAATAACAAATCTACCGGAGAAAGCACTGGGGGGTTTGAGGTTATCTGTTGCTTTTCTTTTGTTATTTTTGTTCTCCTCTGATACGGATGATTAAGGAAGAGGACAAAGACGTATTTTCCACGTTTGCCCTTGACTGTCAACAGGGCAGCCATTCTATAGGGCGTGTACTACATGCTACAAGAGGGGTGAGTGCATTTATCTAAAGGTGCTGGGGTCTGGATGGAGTAAACCCCCAGGGAAGCCAGTCAGACTCAAGAAGTGAATAAATTGACATCCAGGTAAAAACTATTTCTCCACAGAGCCTGCGTCTTTATGCAACACACGATTTCTTTAAATCTCATGTGTGAAATAGAGGCTTGTTTTTTTCCAACTATTTGAAATAAGGTTTCTTAAAATATAGTGAGAAAAAATTATCCACTTAAAATACAATATTGTATGTGTGCGCTATTTTTAGGGATTACGTATTATTTATTATTGGTGTTATTCTTATTATTTGGTCGTCACTTATCATCACACACGTTGTTATATACAGCAGATGATACTGATGATGATGATGATACATCTTCTGAATGTCAGAGAGGGAAAAAGCTAGGTGGAAACAGAGAGCAAATGAGCAGAGACAGAGAACGCAGGCGCAGTGTGTGCGGGTGGGGGGGCGGTAGAGATAGTGTTGAGTGATAATGGGATTGAGGGAGCGAGAGCGAGGCAGAGAGAGAAACGACAGACCGAGTGGGAGACAGCATTGGGGGACACCTGACCTTAAGAAAGGAGTGTAGCTCTCTGCTAGCCAAACAAACACACAGATATATATACACACACACACACACACACACACACACACAGTTCTTACAGGCAGAGGCGGTGAGCCAGCAGAGAGCTAGGAGCCTGTCGACCAGCAGCCATGACAGACATTGGTGAGTAGCTGCATATTGACGTGTGTGTGTGTGTGTGTGTTTCCATATAATGTAGGTGATGACGTATGATACATCTGTGGTATGGTGTTGATGGCATCACAGTACTAGGTATGCGTGTGTGAATGTGTGTGCATGGATAAGGATGTACAAGGTGAAGATATAGATAGATAGGTAGATGGGTAGGTAGATAGATATATTATTATAATCAATAGAACAATTTACCAGGCAATATTGCAGCTATGGATGAGTCTAGCATTGTCCGGAGTTACAATTATACATCATAGCTCACGCCTTCTCCACAACATAGCCATATCCACCTTCAGTGGTTTGTCCCCAGACCTCATTTCATTTAGATTATTTTTTTAATGCAGAAGTTCGCAGTATAGGCACATTGAAACAAAACTGATTATATGTCAGATTTCACTGTTGAAAACAATGTTGATTTATATTTCAGCATATTAATTAAACTGCTTTAAAAATGTGGTCGAAATGTTCAACCTAAACCACATTTAGTTTCTAAGAGCGTCACTTGGTGTTGAATTCATTAGTGTTGAGAAGGGACAGTTCCAACATTCATACAATTCAAAATTTAAAAAACATTCATTCCAAACATAATTTCATGGACTTAGACAATGTCAAATGTTTTTATATTTTGTATGTGTCGTTGTTCCCACACAGACAATACCAGAACACCCTGCTGTTTGTCTCACTGGGCAGTAAAAGAGCACAGTTCAGCTAGAAGCTATTCAGTCATGCATTGCAGGTTGAGGACAAAGCCTCGCACAACAACACAGCCTCATCTGAAGCTACTGCTACTGTAATGTGTCAGAGGCCCCCATAGGCAGCATCATAAACATACAGATATTAAGTGATGGTGAAGGTGGAACATCAGCTTTCAGACAGTATGACAGTAAGTGGTGGGATTTATTACTGGACTGTTGTTTTGGAGGTTTGCAGGTATTGCTGACATTGTGTCAAGCCCCTGCATACTGCATATGTCAATACACAGGCCTTTATGTTGTTTAATGTGGAAACATACAGTGTAATTGCAGCATTTATAATAAGCACCCTAACTCCCTCACAGCTCTCGCTCTCTGTGGGACTGATTTGTAAATTGCCTACTCTCTTTTCAAGCACTCAAAGTAGCCCACAGACACACAAATGTGCACACACACACACACACACACACAAACACACACGCACACACACACACACACACACACACACACACACACACACACACACACACACACACACACACACACACACACACACACACACACACACACACACACACACACACACACACACACACACACACACACACACACACACACACACACACATAATGAGATTGGGGTTGGATCTTGATGTAGCAGGCTGTGTATCAGCCTCCTCCACGCAGGCTATTTTCATTTGACTTAGTAGGGATTATCCTGGGTGATTACCATTTGCAGGTGTCTCTGCCTTTGTGTGTGTGTGTGTGTGTGTGTGTGTGTGTGTGTGTGTGTGTGTGTGTGTGTGTGTGTGTGTGTGTGTGTGTGTGTGTGTGTTTAATGAATGTAAAGGAGTGTGTTGTATGTGTATTGTTTAAGCTGTGTGTCTGAGCTATCTTCCATGTAGCAGTAGATGAAATACTGTAGATGTTTCAGGTTGAATAATCCTGGGGCTAAAGAAACTGGGATCAATTTATTCAACCCTTTCACTAACAACAACAACAACAACAACAGCAACAACAACTTTGTAAACCTCCAAATACATACACTCTACAAACCCTGGATGACCGTCATTGACAAGATTAAAACTTGGAAAGTCGAGCATTAATGCTCGTCCACCCTTAATATATAAACTGTTACAGCTATAAAAATGTTTTAAATATACATTATCCATGGAGGGAAAATTTCTTTGTACAGGATTTTCGTATCCTTTCCTAATCTCCAGCACATACAAAACATGAAGCACGCTATGGTGTTGTTGACAGGCATACCCAGAGCACAGACTATCAAATAATATATGGTTATGCTTTAATACACTATAGCATTCACAAATCATTTGAAATACTGCAATTACTTTTAAGAAGTTGAACATAACCCACATCCATCTGAGGGAGACGCTGTTTTCAATTAAACTACAGTCTTATGTTCATGTGTTAGTTATATAAAGTGGCATAAAGAAGCATAACTTAACTTATGTTGTGTGTGTGTGTGTGTGTGTGTGTGTGTGTGTGTGTGTGTGTGTGTGTGTGTGTGTGTGTGTGTGTGTGTGTGTGTGTGTGTGTGTGTGTGTGTGTGTTGCAGACTCTCTGAGCGGGGCTCTACAGGCTCTCAGTGTGAGTACAGAGCTGATTGAGGAGGAGCTGAAGCTTCCTCTGGAGACATTGCTGGCTGCTCTTTTGGAAAAGAGTAAGTCATGTAACACACACACACACACACACACACACACACACACACACACACACACACACACTATATTAGAGCAGGTTGCAAACAGTTCAGATACCTTGTAGTTCCTACAGTGATATTATTTGTTATATTTATTTAAGTCAGAACTGGGCTTTTACTGTGTACCATTAGCCAACACTAACTTTGCATGTTAACAGTAAATGCTGTGATGGCATATCCTGTCTTTATTGCTCTGAACAAATGAACATGTGTCCACAGAGAAGGATGCTGCTGTGGAGATAGCCAACAGTGGGGTCCTGCCCTCCCTGGCCGAGGTCCTACGGAGCAGCAGCCCCCTGAGCTGCCAGGTGGCGCTGCTGGTGGCAGAGATGGCCAGAGAAGGTAGGATACTGCTACAGGTGTTAGCACGTCTTTTTGTCTTGGATTATATAAAAGAAAATAACATTAGGGATATTTCAGTGGCAACTCAGAGAGAGCAGGAAAATCATTATTTGAATAAATCTAGACACTTTAGGCATTTATGCTACCACAACTGATCCTTATGCCACCATATTGTTGAGGTTTATTCAGTAGCTGTTCCAGAGCTTTCCGTTATATCACACGATCTTCCTGAGCAGAGTCAGTTTATCCAGTTGTTGTTTCATATGTGGCTCATTGAAAAAGCAGGCTTGAAACAGGTAGCACAACTGAAGAAAGACAGGTGGGAATCAAAGGTTTTGCTGTCTTGAATCAAAAGACTAAACAATCCGACAGCATACAAACAGGCTGGTATATGTAAGATAAATAAAGGAAATGGGGAGCAGGTGTGCAGTGGGGGAGTGCAGGGGTCAGGTGACTGCGCAGAGGGGATCTCTGAGGACAGGAGGGGGGGTGGAGCCGAGGGGAGGGGTAATGTTAACATCCAGCATGGCACTAGCATGCAGGGTTGAGAGGGTTACCTAAAAAATGTACCGGTAATCCGTTTCAATGAATAGTTACCTGTAAAAAGAAATGTAAGCATTAACCTTATCTTTGTATCAAAATATAAAAGTAATGTAACTTGCTGTTACTTTTGGATTACCACAATATCAAATGCATTGAAAATCAATACAATTAAATATGAATAAGATGTTTTTAATTATAATGTAAGACAACAGAACAATGTGACCTTAGACAAGAAGAAACCAAGATATTTTAGGATCAAAAATGATTGTATTGACAGGGAAACCTGTCTTTAATGAAGCATATTGAGGCGGCAGCCTACGCACCAACACTGAAACACATGAGCACATACTACAGTTTAAAAAAGCAGAAATAACATCTGAGCTGACAGAAAATGCTCCGTTTTAGTTCATTACACACAGTTAAGCTCACACACACTATTTTATGAAAATATAGGTTCATCTGCTGAATTAAAAACAGAGCAAAGAAAGTAGATTCAGGCAGTTATTTTTTTGTGTAATACAGCTACCTTTTAAAAAGAATCCTGATTACGTAATCCTGTTACATGTAATCCGTTACTCCCCAAGCCTGGTGAGAGGATTCAGCTGAGAGACAGGTGATGGTGTTCCTGGTGTGTTGCAGCTGCAGTCAGAGAGCCGTGCATCGAGGCCGGCCTGGTGACGGTGCTGCTGCCCCACCTCAGCAGCACCAACCAGGAGATGCTGCTGAACACCGGCAGGGCCATCGGACGCATCTGCTTCGACAACTGTGAGTGTCTCTCTTCACTGGCCTCACTGACTTGTCATGCCCTTACGAGCCTGTGCACAGTCTCACACCCTCGGGTAGGGTTCTACTGGCTGTTTGAGTATTTATTCCATATCCTTGATATCAGACGGCAGTTGCCACACTAGTTGGCTACTTGTTAGCACTTGTTAGATACTGTATATGGTCACAAGTTTGGCAAACATTTTACTAGTCACTCTTTTTCTGCAACTAGTGACTACTTGGGACTCACCAAAGTCCCAAGTGGTCAGCTTTTCTGATGAACTAGTGGGCCTCTGACCGTACTAGTGACACTAAAAGTCTTACAAGTCAACTAGTGCGCTGCAAAAGCTCTGACATCTTACTTAGTTAA